CACTGTATTCCTTCACTGCATTCCGTCACTGCATTCCTTCACTGCATTCCGTCACTGTATTCCTTCACTGCATTCCAGCACTGTATTCCTTCACTGTATTCCAGCACTGTATTCCCTTACGTGTATATATCCATTCACACGCGAGATACTCTTTTAAACGATACCGATAGCGATCAGAGATACAGAGATACACTTGGATGCATGCGACCGGCATCGTCCCGGCATGCTCCTAGAATGTTCCAGAACTAACGACACTAACGTTTTGGGCGCGCAAATCGCGCAATTGCGATCTTGAGAAATTTCAAATTGAAGGAACTCAAGGAACCAATCACGTCGCGACGATCGGGCGTCGTCTCATCTGCACTTGCTGTATTCAATATGACGCACATGTATGATGTACTTGTTACTCTTTGGAGGAAAAAAGTAGAGAAAACAAACGCGACGAATGCAATTATGACACGGAACATAGTCGAAGATTGACTTGCCGGAAATATCCGTAATATCTGACTTTCGAATGCGCAATTTTTCAAGAATAAATTATCGGAATTATCCCCAACAGTCTCGAAAGATGGACGTAGCACGGACACGCACCATAAATTGTATACCCGCCGTGCGGAATGTTGCTATGTAGTTTACACCCACTTCTTCGGGGGGCGTTAGTGGACGAGGACAGTCTTCTCTGGCTATACAATTTAACCTAACCTAAATAGTTCTTTCCGCTTTTCCTCATCGTGTTACTCGCATGACCTATTTAATTTTATTTTACAATGTATATAACAGTAACAATTGTAAAAAGTAACTTGTACAGATACGCGTAGGCCGTAATTCCATGTAAATACGTGGAAGCTAATAAAATTTAATAGTGGGTAAGCAGTAGCGTACGTTCAACTGTGTCGTTAATGTCGTCATTGGATGTTCTCTAATGAAGTTGCGAAAAACGAAGGGAGGACACTCCTCCCTTTCGTATCGGGAATTAAATGTGACACGATCGCGTTTATATTGTATTTATACGCCGGGTTTATTGTACTTTATAAGCCAATTGCGCTAATTTAATCGACATTCATGCCATGTCAGTAAGGTCGTTAGGAAATTTTATATAAAGTATCACCACATAGCACGCCACGCAAGTTATGGCCTTCTACAGTTTTTACACAATTTTATGTACACGTTAAACACATTTAAAGTCCGTGTTTATTGGCACGTCTTGCGCGTGTTCGGTAAATGTACTTAATTCCCAAGCGTGCGCTTGTGGCGAGCTGAAGATCGAGTATACAGTCACTTAGCTAGCATCGTCGCAAAACTCCAGCTAGTAACAGCTTCAATCTCTCAATGTTGTTCCTGTCTAGATCTGGAGTTTAAATAATGCGATGGAATTCTCACTCAGCCATCTACAGAGTCTGATAAAGTAACAGCTCGCTTGTATAATATACTCTCTCTCTCTTTCTCTCTCTCTCTCTCTCTCTATGGACATGTAATAGGCCCCAGACTGCTAACACTAATGCAAATGTCCAATTTTCATTGCCATTTGTGGTTTCAAACTGATTGGACTTTGGCCTCATTGGTGGAAGTGGTGTGGCCATACAACGCGCTTAATACATATTAATCCACGGATTGTTTTGTGAACCTTGGGTTTAAGTTGACTGAATATTGTTTGTTATTATTAGCTATATTTACTGTTAATTTGCATACAATGCAATGATTACTATTTGTACAACGTGCATATATGATAAGAGATCAATACTGTAAGCTTTGATCAAGGAGTAATACAGTAGAGGATCATGGAGTACGAGTATTCTGCTGTTATTTGTGTATAATTGTACGGGTCCTGTCAGCTAGACGTCTGAGCTCTCCTTGTTTGCATTTTTATAATATTTTAACAGATACTTCGTGACATACAACGCAATGGAAGTTAATATAGAACAAACGGATATGGAAGCTATGGAGGCTTCAGAAGATAGTGCAAATAATCAAAATCAGAACATTTTGGATTGCGAAGAAGCGGTGTCTAGTATGCAGTGCGAGAATCAAAATTGGGAAACATCGTGTACAAAGTTAATGAAATTAGATCATGATACCAGATCGACTGGCACTGACAATAGCCATTATAATGACATCATGGATGAAGAAACTGCGTGTATCGATCATAAAGATACTTTACACAATGGCTTGTGCGAGGAAGATTCGGAACACAATGACGATTTACGGCAATTTGATGTGCTGGACGATCTAGATCGTCATCCAGAACAGAATGATGGTTCTGATGATGATTCAGATACAGATGAGAGTATGGACTCCGATGTGCCAGATGAAGAAATTGAAGCGATGCTAGAAGAAGGTACATAATAATATTTTTCTAAATATAAATTCACTTGCATGCTGCTTTTAATTATCCATACGTGAGATACATGAATTCTTTATTTTCACAAGAATTACAATTCAAGATTATTAACTTTATGCTTTCAAGATCAGATTAAATATATTTTCTGCAGCAAACAGAATAAGAAACTAAGTAAGGCTGTTTGGTTTCTCATCATTTTTAATATAGTTTACAGAGGCTCTCATTTTAATTGAATTTTATGTATTAGGTTTACCAGAGGAATTTAAGGGAAAGAGAAGAGATAAAAAGGATCGCTTACCCTATGAAGAAAAGGAGAAACTTGTTTTAGATGGTACATTAATATAAATTATTACAAAGTACTGTGTAATTATCCAATATTTATATTACTCTTATTGTTCTTATTTAGAAATTGGGCATAATCATTTTGATGTTCTACCTGAAGGATGGGTACAAGTAACACACAACAGTGGAATGCCATTATATCTTCATAAACAAAGTAGAGTTTGTACACTAGCAAAGCCATATTTTCTTGGTCCAGGAAGTGTTAGAAAGCATGAAGTTCCTGTCAGCGCCATTCCTTGCCTTCAGTACAAAAGGGCATTAACAGAAGAGGAAGAGGAACGAAGGAAAGAGATGGAGCGCACGCCAAACACTGAAGCTTGCAGTCTTCCCAGCGCAAAGATTGAAACCATTCAAGAGAATCGTGCAGCACACTCATTAGATAGCGAGCAATTAAGAAATTATTGTCAGTCTTTGTTTCGTTTCAAATCTATTAAAGTAATGAGATTTCAGTAAGTATTGAAAGTAAGATGATTATATCATTGAGAAATTTATTTTACATCGATCGTCTCTTTTGATCCAGATCTTGGTCAGCGCGTCGAAAATTTACGAAAATTAAAAAGCATCGCAAGCAGCTTGAGCGCCCGACTTTACCAGATGGTACAAAATTGATAACTTTCCCCGTCAGTAATTCTAATGCAAGTGGCAATTGGAGTATTGCGGACGACAACGGTCAAAGACCTGCGAAACACTGGATAATGAATCCATCAGGCAAAAGTTATGTTTGTATTCTTCATGAATATGTGCAACACGCGTTAAAGAAACAGCCAACATATAAATTTAAGGAATTAGGTAATCATATTTATTTTATATATTATTTGTATTATTTGATTATGAATGTGATTTATGCTTAATGCTGTTCCATTGTTATTTTATCGCTAATATGGAATTAATGCGTTCTTATTATAGAAAATGCTGCAACACCCTATTCCGCAGTAGTTTGTATCAATGATATGGAATACGGAAGCGGATTCGGCAGCAGCAAAAAGCAAGCAAAGGCCAATGCAGCTCGAAAGACTCTTGAAATTTTGATTCCTCAAATGAAAGACAAAATTTCCGGTGAAAACGGTGGAGATAATGGATCGAATAATGATAACCGTACGATAAAAGCATCTAGAGGAAATTCCGACGCCGATCTTTCATTCTTCGACGAAATATCCATCACTGATCCGCGTGTTGCGGAATTTTGTGCGAAAACTACTGAACCTTCTCCACATGCAATTTTAATAACTTGTCTTCAAAGAAATTATGGTTTAGGAGATATGCATATTAATTATTCGGTGAATACGTTGAAACATCAGCGAAATGAATTTACAATGAAAGTTGGGAAACACGAAGCTACTGTTGTACGTATAAGCTGTTCCTTATTTATATAAATAGGATGGTTAATTTTAGATAGTAAAAATTAATTTTAATTTATTTAATAATTACAGGTTTGTCGTAATAAAAAAGACGGTAAACAACGAGCGGCACAAGCAATATTACAGCTTATACATCCACATATCCAATCTTGGGGATCCTTGCTGCGTCTTTATGGATCGCGAAGCGTGAAGTCCTTTAAAGAAAAGAAACAATTGGAACAAGAGATTACTCTTTTACAGGGTAAAGCCGCCGTTAATCAGCCAAATCATGCTATTTTAGGTAAACTTAGGCAAGAGATGCGAAGATTAGCTGAACAACGCGAAGCAATACAGCCTATTGGTAAGTTTGTACCACCAGATTTACCAACAGGATCTGCAGCTAATCTGAATAATGTAGATTTATAAGAATTAGTCTATAATTTATATATATTGCCTAATTATTTAGAAACAATATTCTTTAAATATCGTACGATATGTTGCCTTTTAGAAATAATCTTTTTGCCAGTCATGCAAACGGTTATGATTTTCGTATAAGACCAAAAAGACGGTCGATTTACACTGTATGAAGATATATAAAATACTATTAAGTATTAAGTATTAAGAAGATATATAAAATACTATTAAGTATTTTTAATTGAAAACTTCAGTTGCCTTAATCAATTGATATGTTAAACATATCAATTTTAATAATATTGAATGTTTAGGTTCTATTTTTCTTATAGTGGAATCTTTCTAGTCTGAAATTGTCCATTCTTCTATTATGGAATTTTCATTTTAAATCACTTTTTTATTCTAATGGTATAAAAAGTGAAAATAATTATACTCTATTTTATTATTTAACGTTCGTTTTCTCACACTAACGTAGTAATGGTAACAAATATGAGAAATGGAAAAGCATAAGAGAAGAATTCTAATTTACAAGGGAACATAATAGAGAAGTTTTATTGTATTATAAATAATTTTAACATATAAATATAGACATGATTACATAGTCGAAAACACATTAATAAATGTTAATAACCTTTAGTACGATGCCTTTATTAGGCATATTTGCTGCTAATGGACATTTTATATTTTGTTCCAAGAAAGAATGACCTCAATTTTTTATTGTAACAAAGTATCAAATTATTTTCACGAATTTGAATCAAATACTGTACTTTAGACGGATATAACAATTTGTTCACATATATGAATGTAATATAATCGTAAAATTTATTCGTAATTTACAATTGTATATTGACTGTAAAAAAACAGCTTTCACATTTAGCTTAAAACTGTTATAAAACATGATGTAAACGAAAGAATATGAACGTAATAAAATCATATTGTAGATTATATTCCTATTTTATTAACAACCAGTTAAACATTAAAAAATTAAAACATCTAGCTTTTATTCGAATCAAATTTTGTCGAACTAAAATATAATTTTTTATGAACAAATTATTATTACATTGTACGTAATACATTTTTCCAGAAAGATACTATTTATTTTTTTATACAATCCACTAGATTTTTAATATCTACTTACAATATATAATGGACAACATTGTAATTCTTGTGTCATATTTATGTTATCTTTTTTTATCTCTGATCTTACATCTAAGATTATTTGAAAATCATATAGGATGCTATATTGAGTATGTATGGAAAGGGATAAACCTATTTGCATATTTATATATTTGTTGTATAAAGATATTCAACAATTCTAAATTATCGCATTGGTCAATGAAAGTTTATTTATATAGCCATGGAAGCAACAAATATGCAAATGTTTCAATCTTATTTATTCCAAGAGATTGGCGCTTTTATTCTTCGAAAAATTTAATTCGTTGCTACCTTGGCTATTTTGCTAGTATAAAAATCTAAAAACTGTATATACTAATATAAACGAATCTTTTTCTCTCGCTGTATATAGGATGAAAATAAAATATAAATTCAATTTACATTTAAAAGATATATACTCACAAAACATTTTTGGGAATATGTTGTCCGATATAAAGTGGATAAAACACTGATATGCATGTATGTTCCATTACATTATAAAATATTTTCAACGAAACTAGGATAACTTCCTCTTTTTTTTAAATATATTCATTATTAATTTAATATCTTGGATTTTATAAAATGAGTCAAAAGTATTTTATTTACGAGCATTAACTATGATTTCGCTCCATAGCTACAATCACTACGTTTTGTTCATTAATTTGTATTTGTTGTTTATTCTACGTACTTGTCTCTTGTTTTACTACTGCTTTACTAAATCGTTCAAGAGTTGATAAGTAATACTGAAATAGGCACTACACATAACAAAGTTATTTTGCATTTATAAACAGCTAACTTTAATATATATAACATAGATTGCAACGAATCTTCTGTAATGGAAACTTTTTAGCACTCGCAAATTTGTATAATTTTCTTCTTGTTATTGCGGAGGACTTTTTTGATTACTTATTAACTTTAATTTAGATACTCTTATAAAATAGCAATATATCCACTTTTGCTTCTTTTTAGTTATTTGGTATATATATATATATATATAGGTATTGACAATTTTTAATTATATCGTCATATATCTACATATTTGAGAAATATATATTTTCATTCTAACATATCACATTGAAATGAATATACAGTTAAATCAACTTTTGTTTTATGAGTATATTTACAATTGTAACGTGGAAAGAAAAATAGACTCATTTTTACATTAACACATGGCACAGATTGTGAAATATATTAGATTCAATATCATGTCCGCAAATGTAAATGAGATAAAAAAATTTATTATATATGTTATTACTTATAACAATGTACGAAAGATAAAAAACAAAATATAAATTCAAACGTTATGTGCTTTAATCACATCATAAAATGCATTTGGATACAATGAACATACTAAATATGTTAAAGCAAGTTAATAATTATAAAGTTAATAAATTAATAAATAAAAAAGTGGCCTTCTCAATGTAAAATTCATTGCATTAAAAATTGCATTTAATTGCAAAGTTAGATAGATTAGTTCATATATAGATAATCGATAGAATAAAGAAAATTATTGTAAGATAAAATATAAATCTGTTTGAAAGCTTAGCAAACAATAATCGGATACTTTGGTATCTGCGTATATATAGAAAGAACGAGACCTGTTTCACATTAGACACAATTAGAACCTCATCAATGCACATTTAAAACTACACGCACCTAGTAATTTTGAAAAAAAAACTTGAAATATTTCTCTAATTGTATTAATACCTTTTTTACATGCATTACATGAATATCCTACATGTCATATTAATATCAATGAATATTAATTTCAATGCATAAAAAGGAGAAAATGGAAAAAACGAAAAAAGTGACGTACTTATGTATGTGATGTACGAAGGTCGTGCAGCTAAATACACATTGTCTTTTTTTACATCTATACAAATATGTACATGCACACAAGTCTCGTCTGTCATATTATAGATTTATATAAATCTAGCGTTTTCTATTCGTTCATTGCATGCACATCTATCTACTATGAACCAGGTCTCAACAATGTCAACTATCTTACAGGAATTGATATCTACGTTAAAATTGTCTATGTAAAATCGTATGTATATCGAGCAGTCAGAGAATGTGGTTACGTAAATAAGTCTAGTCCTAAGCGATGTCGTCCCTGGTTGTCTTCGACAGTCCTAATCACTTAAAATTATCCAACGTATTTTTAAAAAAGCATTATATAGACGTATCACAGGTACTACCAGATAGGGCCATCTTTGAAAGACTAGAAAGACTTCGTCTGGGACTACTGCCTCCGAGAAAGCTGCTGCTGGATTCAGAGAATATCTTTCGGAAGCTGTAAAATTAAAATGCTTTAGATATATGTTACACATACGAACGAAGAAACGTATGTATAAATAATAAGACATTTACAATTTACGAATTCCAGATTCAGAAGACTTTTTCCATGGTGCATCGTCTGGTTCATAAGGAAGTGGTCCTTGCACGGGTGCCTCTTCCTCAGGACTGAAACAACATGGAAGTGAATTATTTTATATAGCAAAGAATTTATATCTATCGTTCAATGACGACATACATTTCAGGTTTTGGTCGATACAATTCCAGTTCGTCTTCAAGATCCGAAACTCTTGCCTTCAATTCGTTTCGCTCGTGCAAAATTTCTTTTAGCTCGGCAGTCGTGAATCTGGGTCTGTCAGGATCATCCAAGTCATAAATTGCTTTGTTCGTTAAATCAGGACAGCCCTGTAATTTACTCAAGTCCTCATTTTCTTTCCTAGCCATGCCAAGCCGTCCCCGAAGATTTATAAGTTCCCGATTCTGATCTTGCAGTTGAGCTAAAAAGTCGGCCCTTTCTTCCACTAAACCTCGGGCTTGCATTTGCGCCTGTCGTTGTTTACGTTTCAGTTCCCGTCCCAGGACAGTCAGCTTCTCCACTTGTGCACTCAACTATACAACACATTGTATTACTTATGTATAACTTATAAATCACACGGTTTGTCATGTTTACAAAATCATAATCAAAACATAATCTTAAACTGAAATCTTTAAATATCTAATAATTTCAAAATACTTTACAGTTGGAATGGAAATTAAAAATCTATCCTATGTCTAGTATGAAAATCATCGAATGCATATAAATACGTATAAGTACCAATTTACATTTTCAATCTCTGCAGTTTTTTGCGACAATTCTCGATCTCTGGCACGAATCTGTTCTCGTTGTTTATCTATCATGGACCTCAAGTGTTGCAGAACCGCTATATCAACCTCCTGACTAGGTGTAATAGCTAAAAATTAATGTAAACAGATTATTTCATCTTAATTTATTAATTTGTATTTGTATTTTTTGTTCTGTCAAACGTATATTTGTACGTTTAACAAAACCCTTTTAATGATTACTGGATTAGCAATTAATTGTTAATTGTTAGTACTTGTTTGTTTACTGCTGTACTGACTATCACTACGTGATTCGTGCAGAGATTCGGCTAGTCGTCTGTTCTCTTCTTGTAATCTAGTAACCATGGCTACTAAATCACGCGATTCTTGTCTCCAATGTTCCTCGATTTGTTCCAGTTCCTAAAAGAATAAAATCGATTCGGCGATACATAACTGTGTGACATCAAATGATGATCATGAATTACAAATCGCATCGAGATCATTATTCGTTTTGCGATATAACACAAAAATGAAACCATCAGCTGACCTTTTCAAATCGTTGCCTATCCTCAGCCTTCCCGATCTTATCGCTCTCAAGCTGAGAGATCTTGGCGCTCAGCTCTTGCACCATGGTGTTCTCGCGCTCGTTCTTGGTGGCAAGATTCTCGAGTAGCTCCAAAGCGTTGATCACCTTTGGCATCAGATTGGTCACCGACTCCACGCCAAACAGATCTATGAGCTTCTCGCATTCCTTCCCTATCTCCGACGCGATGTCGTACACGTCCACCACCGACACATCAGACGCGACGGAATATTCTTCCATTTTGCAGGTTGTTGCGTTACCTCTCAGACAAAAAGGCATGAATACAAATTGTTTGCCGCAGCACGCTCGACGCGTGGAGCTCTGCCCTGTGCTACGAGATAAGGTGGTCTCGTAGAGACGTGTGTTTCGCCCTCCCTACGAATATCACACCTGCGCGATCGCCGACAGGGAATTGTGTGTGCATATACGGGACGAAATTACGGATAAATCACAGCCAAACTGTAACACGGAGTTATTGGCTGGCGCGTATGTCGCGGGTGTATGTAAATGTATTACGTGCCTGCGGAAGGTTTGCGATAAATAAATAGCGTGACTTAGGTGTGGCGTTAATTGTCAAAACGACAATGTCAGGGCCGTGATCACGCACGTCGACGGACGTTCGCGTTTATACACTTTCGTCTTTAGAGTCGATGTACAACGCGGGAAATGCAACGAGCCCCCGGTGATGTCATGGCAATTCTATCAAAACGTCATGTTTAAATTCCGGTCGCACACACAGAAGTCACACACGGCGGAGCAGATGATTGAGATTATTCACGGTGTAGGTATATATGTATGTGCGCGTGCATGCGATTCATCGAGCTCCACGGAGCGCCGAGAGGAACGCCTTCTCTCGGAGCATCGCGTAACATTAGGCAGGAATTGTTTTCGATCCCTATCGACATTTTCCTAATTTGTATCTATTGCACAATGACGCGAAACAAATAATGGGCGAAACTTACAATTAGGAAAAATTTTTAATGTTTTACTCTGGTTTTACATATACGTGAACAGAATTGCTCGTCATCGATCATCTGTGCTATACGGAAAACAATTATCGTACGCGATACGATAAGATATAGATAACATATTAATATGGCAAAAATAAAATACTTTTTTATATATTAGGAGCAATTATCTTTATCAATATATTACTCGCGATCGGTCGACTTGTGTTGCATAAAAAGCACATTGGAATGCAAATAGTCGTGGTAACCATAGAATTACGTAATTGTTGGATCGTTAAACGTATTTTGACATATCCGGATAATTTCGTGAGTAAAGGAGATTGCAAGAAAGAATTAGTATTAATCATGAGCGAGCAAGAAGACGCGATTTCGATAATTCGAATGGAGAAACTTTTGACGGGCATTACGAGCAAAATAGAGGAATCGGTAATAAACGCTGCAAAATTATATTTAAATCAATTTTTTTGTTTTCTTAATACTATTTTTTCTTTCGTCTTCTTCGTTTGAAAAAAATATTCATCCATACATGTCAAAATTTCTTATTTCACTCTGCATATTTGGTTAATTTGATGTTTAAAGGTTATTTGCAGCTTCATTCGATTCCAACCTTAATATTTGCGTATCGTACCACAAGCTTTTTGAACGCTCTGATTGGCTGTCGGATAGAGACTTTCGAAGTCCCGTTTTCTCCGATTAACCAATCGGCGGTCCGAAAAACGCCACATAATACCAACCCGATAATGCTAACTTTGCACGGAAAATCGCAAAAAATCGTCACGTTGTCACACTTGCCACTCGTACAGTAATGTCGGTGTTCAAAATTATTCGCTCTGTTTACAATCGAATGTTAAGTACGGAATAGTATTCCACCTTATTCGAGTATCATCTTTATTACTATTTAATAGATTGAAAGATGTGGCGTCTACGATTCGCCGCTGCTTCGAGAGATCAACGAGCTCGTCGAGCTCCTCAAGAAATGCGTTATATCCCGCATGAAGAGGACACCTGATGTAGAGTGCACGTACGCTATCAATTTGCACGATTGTCGGACCAAAATAGCGGAAATCTTGGTGGAACTCGAAGGTAAACAAATTTAATGACGAGAAAACTCTACTGCTACAAATACGCATTATTTCGTATACAGACTAAAGTATATCAATTGGCAGCTTTGCAGGAGGTGTCTGAGGAACAAGACTCGAGCTCCGAAATTTTTTTGAGGGATATCGTTACCTGTCTAAACGATGAGGAAGAGATAATGCGAAGCATCAGGGAAACGTCAGAAGTAGAGATACCAAGAGAAATGTAATATTGATTTATTATTTGTTAAAGTGAAATATTATGTTGCTCTGTTTATATATTATAATTATACAACAAATTTTACTTTATTTTTTTTATAGAGAGGAATCGATGCGGGAGATGCTGAATGTAAGAGAACGAGAGGAAACGCGAAAGAAGGTACTACAGTCTGAAATAGATTCAACAGAGCGTAGACTGTACAACGTTATAGAATTCAATGCAACATCCGAGAAAAAGCTCTTTGATATATGGTAAAGATCGAGCAATCTACATCCCAAAAAATCAATTGAGAACATTCATTATTACTATCTAGGAATATAAACAAGTATTAATTATTTTTTATATTTCAGTGGAAAAGTCGAACAACAATATATCACTATTCTTACTAAATACGATTGTGACATCAGCGCGTCTCATGCGTTAACAGAGAAACTGTCGAAAGACAATGAAGTTATTAAAGCAAAAATTAAAGAAATGGAGGTTTGTAGTACATTTTATTTCAAATTTAATTAATAACAACTCTTCTGAATTATTAATTATTTTATTTATTTTTTTATTAGGATCAACTGACCGTGCAACGAAAACTGTACGTTCAATTTAAGAACGAGCAAGAAATCGCGCTGATGAAAGCTTTTAACGAAAAACTTGAACTCTTTAGGCGTAATCGAGCCGCCAAGACTATCCAAAGAACATGGAGAGCATATTTTGAGCGTATTTCTCTAAAGAAACGACGAAAAACGAAGAGAAAATAAGATAATTCCTTCAGTTTTTATACGAAAGAGCTAGATAATATCAGCTTATCAGTAGAACGCACGACAAAACAAACTAGATATATAGCGCCGAAAATACTTTTTTATGGATATAAAAAATAAACTACGTGTGATGAGGAAACTGGGTAGAAGGAAAAAGCAATTGATATTATACATTGGTTTATTTTATTCACTGAGTTGACAAAGCATCGCCACTCCTCGTATAATCCAGTGTTCTGGTGGCTTCACCGTGGGCAACCGCACGGCTATGACGAAGTTCGTGGAGTGACCGGTGGTGGACAATACCCCGCGACGTTCGCTGGTTTTATAGAGCGGACAAACATACGATCGCCTTTCTTCGATATCCTGCTTCTTCATCGGTATCAGCCACAGCTGGAAATATAAGTCGCGAAAAAGTAAGTTTTATCATTGATCTACAAATTATCTCTCTTGGGGGATTTAAATTTACTTACAAAGGGCACGTTATCGTAAAGCACTTTGGGAAAGCTCTCCTCTACGCACATTTTCTTTATATCAAATCTCGCGCCATCCAAAAATAGTCCGTAAACGTAAACACCATCCTCGGGCATGTTCGTGAAAACAGTCTCTTTTAGAATTTCAAAATCAAACGTAAGAAGATCTATAGGGATCTGATACTTTCGCGCGTAATTTTGCAACGTCCCAGTTAGAAACGCTTGCGTAAAATAGAAGCCAGGTAACCAGAATGTAACGGGCGGTCCTTCCTCATACCATTTCTATATAATAAATTCATATATACTTCGAAATATTTTATGCTAAAAAAAAATACTAAAACGCTTAAAGCAATATATAAAATTACTTGTAGAAATGTTAAACGTTGTAAAAAGTCATTGATATAACTGCCCAAAGGTTTTAAAGAGGGATAGGAATTTGCCTTCCACAAACGAGGTAATTTACTCGTCACGATTGCATCGTAAATATCTTCAAGTTCAATGGACATTATGATCAAACCTGCGATATTGCAATAATATAATTTTAATACTCTTGTTAAAATATAAAAGATTGATTTGATAATTTAAGCTAATTGACAATATTTCGCATGTATAAATTTCTTTCTCTGAGAAACAGATATATACCTTTGATAGCTTTTCGTACATTGATAAGACTGTTCCTGATACAGTGTAATAATTTGTTAAATCTGTCCATCTCTTGCACTAGCACAGTGTTCATACTTTGACTGTATAATGTAGGATATTTAGCAAGTGCTGCAATGACATCGTAATTCTTTGGAAGCTTATCCAAGATTTCTGTCGCGACACCGTAAACTATCTCATCGTCAGAGGTGGCTCTCGCACCGGATTTAACAGCTTCCTAAGAAAGAAAATAATAGATAATAGTTTCATTATTTTTGCTCAAGTTATTTTTGTTCAGGATTCAGGAAGAATCAGACCAAGATTTATTAATGATACGCATGATATCAGAGCGTAATCTTAAGGAACGATAAACATACCTTAATTTTCCAAAGATCCTGAGGTCGAGCAATAAAAAATAATAATATATAAAATATATATTTTATAAAAAAAATAATACATAAATTTATATATTTTATAATTATATAAAATTCATTATATCGATTAGTGTAATTAACTATAAATTAAAATTTGATTATTTTTTGTGACAACATATTGTCATGACTACATACCGTCCGATCCTGAATAATGTCCGATAAAACAAAAAAATGATAATTATAATACGCAAAATTATCGTCTTAAATTATTTTCTTGAAAATTTAGATAAAAGTTACCTGCGTGAGCAGTAATGAAGAGAATAGCAGGTCTGTCTCTCGCTGATCTTTAAGAATGTCGGCGTTTTCATTCATGCCAAATACACTCGGTGCTGTAATTATCGGAAGTTTTCTCGTGTATACGATATATGCTTCGTATTCTCTGGCGAATGGACAATAATAAATAGTAGATGACGTGTCGAAATAGTATACTTCATCAGTCAACAGTTCCCTGAGTAAGGATACAAGTAATATTAATTACTTAATTGATTGATTAAAATTACACAATTTGCTAATACTCACGGACAATAGAACTTCAATAGGATAGTGCTCAGCGTTCTACGATCCCATTCGTCCGTAACTCTGCCTCCGTAATTGCATTCACCCGTGAGGTACGTCAAAGCAGCGAACTGCACGTCCTCGTAATCGTCTAAGAACATCTTCAATTGCAATGCGCTGATCCTCATATCGGTCTCGTTGAATTCGTACGGGATGTTCCATCCGATTGGGCCGAACTTCCGTCTCTCTTGTATCATAGCGTGAAAGAAGCACAACGAGTACAGAAGCTTCTTGAAGTGCTCGCTTTGAACGCAGCCCTCGAAGAACTCTGGACTACTGATCGGATCGCTCGTGTACGATCTCAAAATGTTAGCCCTGAGTCCTTTGGGCGGCTCGTTCGTAATCTTGATGCCGTTCTGGAGGACCGATATGGGAAAGTGTTCCGCTGGATAACTGGTCAACCATAGCCGGAAATCAGGGTGAATCGAATCGGGTATCAGACCTTCGCAGATCTTTTCCAAGGTCGGCATCCAGCTCTTGGCCAGGTGACAGTTTTGCAATACCACCCAGTTACCATGCAGCACGCCATTCTTTATCAAGCCTTCCGCTATTGGTCCTTGACCTGGATTAACAATCACGATATCAATTTCGTGTGACAAATTCTTCGTGCGGCAAACACTTACCTTGACCAAGAGACAGATAGAAAAGACGCTTGGCACCGTAGCCTTGCTCGTCGGCAAACGACAGCAAGGTTTGCCCCGGATCGGCACCGGGAGTTAGGATAAATATCAATGGAATACAACAGTTAGAATCCAAGTAAGAAGATGCTAAGTCGAAAGGTGGTGCTTCTACGTATTGCGCGCCCAGTTGTTCTACAATTTTCGAACGATTAGCGTAATTAATGTCCGTTATATTCAATCGATCGATACTCGCTTGTAGCGTGTCTTTTACCTTCCACGAGCAACTGTACCGCTGGGATAATTTTATCGGGGCGGAGACATCGCAGAATTAACAATCGTTCAAATAAATTTAAGCTGTCGTATGGCGCTGGGAAAGGCTCTTTCTGCGGTTCTCTCGAGTCGAATATCTTCTTCCACTCGCCAACGGCCTTGGAGAACGATTCTCTGATGCCCTACGGAATTGATAAATTCATAATTCTATAAATAGCGATTTTCTGATCGATTATACAAAAATTTACTTCAAATCCTTTGACGGTATCCAGCCTGCACAATTCGTCCCAGTACTTGACGAGCAGCCACTCGGCAGGATTAGCGTACGGGTTCTCCAAACCTATCCCACCGGTTAATAGAAATAACCATTGGCTTATGGTTTCCGGTGTGTCGCTCGTCTCGCACAGATTGAAAACGAGAAGTAGCGTGAACAATAGTTTATCCTTTTCAAACAGAGATCTGCAGATGTTGACGTAAAGGGAATATGTAAAATATTTGTTTAGATCCCTCAAACGTTGTTCGATATTATCGGCTGGCTCCGTATTATCGATAGCCATGTTGAAGAGATTTACAAACCATATCAATGAATATTGATACATTGGATCTATATTGGCTAAAGATGCTGCGAGAAAATTATTTCGGTTAAAATCTTTGGTTAAAATCACCGATTAGAAACATAATAACGACTTTTCTTCATGTTATTGCTTTTGCACGACTGATTTACCTATCGTGAAGAAAAGTATAGTTGAATAAGCCGCGATGGGTTGATATTGCAATCTCGCGGCATCGATCGATTTTTCTGTAACTTCCGTGGCCGCTTGTTTCACCTGAATATCATCGCTTAAAACCTTGGATACCATTAAAATATCGATAGCTTCCTCGTCCTCCAAAATATTACCTTCTGCCACGGAAAGTACCTCCAGGATTTTATCTTCTGTCTCTTTCAACATCCTATTAGATAGAGTAAAAAAAATGATATAAGTGAAATGCATAAAATCAATGCGAATCAAAGAACATACTTTTTGTTCGCGGCACTCTGCAGAATCAAAGCGTTCTTCTCTGCTTCTAAATCGGGTCTTTCTTTCGCGACCACAATACCGAGCAACTGATCCTCCAGACCGCTCGGTGTTATCATAAAATTCAGCAGAGTTACTCTTACAGCTATTTCCGGCAGATAATGAGGATTTCTTAATTTTGTCGTGATGTAAAGTCTGTATATATCAATATGATAATTAATATTATATTATAATTAGGATATTATTATAAAGATATACTTTTTATCTCTAGATTTTTGAACAAGTACTCTTGTCTGTAAATCAATTTGTTAAAATCTATATGACAAGCAACAAAACTTAATAAAGATATGTTGCATCAATAAGCTTTTTTCCATGTGGAATTTAAAATATAGTTAGTATGTATATGTAATTAGAGCGTACCTAAAGTTAGCATTATATTCTATTACGGCATCGCCCAATTTTATACATAATGCACCAGCATGCTTGAACGTCTGTTTAAGAAGTATTGGCTCGAGAACGGGATCTAATTCCTCCTCTACGTTTTCCAACAGCACTGGTTGTCCGAATTGTATCGCGTTTTCCAAAACTCTAACATAATCATGTTGACTCAATCGAATAATGCTTATATTGTTTTGCTTCTCCATGTTTCTAACCCATTTGTTAGCTTGGCTTTGTGGATCTATCATCAGCGGCCATCTTCTGGCATTTCTAAAAAAATACCGTCATTACGCAACACGACAGTCATTGAAATTACAATTAACTTACGTAACGATAATTCCGTTGTCGATGGAAAATAGATCGGCGGGCAATCCGGCGATGTTCCATGATCTGATTAAAACCGGATCGCCGAGTACATCACGCAGATGGAAATCATAGCTACAAATCACTTGCATATCCGTGCATAATTGCACCCATTCGTTTATCTGCAGCACACGAAACGGCATGGTGAATGGACCCAAATAAGCCACTACGCCGGACGCGATTAATACATCCCCCGTTAGCCGATAATATCTATAAAAAAATAGAAAAAAAATTGAATTTAATATCAATATTTGCAATAGTCTAAAATAAAGATCCACTTCAGACAGATCTCACTTGTTGCCCAGTTCCTCGGCGGTTTGAGACCAACGTGCATATTCTCCGCCTAATCCCCCGATAAGATCTTCGGCCCGTTTCAATTTCATCTCACAATCCGCCACCTGATCCGACATTATTTGAAACTCCATCTTTCTTTTGTTTAATGTTTCTTGAAGGTCCAACAATTTTTTCTAATAGATTTAAAAAAAATTAATTAAATTATTAGATTCATAAATGTACTGTTTTTTTTTTTAGAAATTAAATTTGATTTATCATTTGACATTATAACTTTCGTATAATTTTATTATTGATATTCGTACCTGTACTTGACGCAATTGTTCTCTTTTCAGATTTAATTTTTCTATAGCATTATGATAGACAGCTTCAGCTTGCGCTAGGGCTTTTTTCTTAGGAGCGATGATTTTTGCGATTGTATCATAATCGGACATTGCGATCACCCAACGGCATAAACCTTCGCAAGCCGTTGACACCTTCTTGATTTTCTCCGGATCGAAGTCCGGATTTGTCAGATATTCTTTTCGTATCGTTTCTATTACCTTATCCGGAATGTTGTCCTTATCAAAATTAAGTAGCGAGTCTAAAAATTTAGCATCGCTGAGCATCCTCAAGGCCGCCTTCCAGTAATCATCAACGTACACACCCTCCTTCGTCAGTACCTTCTCTGGCTTTATTTGCTGTAATGATTTACTTAAATTGCAATAATATATAAGCAATAAAATTAAGACTTGAATAATTATTGTGGCAGATTTTTTACGAATGGCAATACATGCCATTTTCCATTGCCTTGTACATACCTTGAGAACGCAAACACTCTCCACGATGAGCTTCACGCCATACGGCGGATGTTTCATTGCTTTTACTATCGCGATATCTGCCAATGTCAACGTGTCCAATGCTGCTTGAGCTCGATTTAAGATAGGCATAGCTTCAGCCAAATCAGCATCGCATTCAGCTCTTATCATAGCTGCTTCATTCGCGACAATCTACATGATAATAATTTTATGTAGCGGCACAATTTTATTAAATTTATATTTTACATTTAATGATATATTATTGTGTTAACAATATAATATATTAATATTTTAACGTCAATAACAAGGATTGTATAATATGAGCTTACTTCAGCCGCAGTTTCGTCGACTTTAACTACTTTCTCAAATTCCGCGACCTCCTGATTTTCCTTCTCAACGTCGGCCAACATTCGTTGAATATCCTGCGTGGCCGCAATTAAGCTTGGTTGCAATTGCTTTAATATATTTTGCATCTCCGTTACTTGATGCTGCGCGCTATCTAATTGTCCCAATCCACCCTCATACCGAGCCTTAGCGTGTAGCACTTCTCTGTAGTATTTTATGAAAAATTAAACGAGAAAATATGAGACTTAACGGAGTTATACTTACCCACGCTTTTTGTCGAGTAAGGTCTGAAAAGTCTTGATCATTTCGAGGTAAGATGTAGGTGTCACATAATTACGTCTATTCAAACGAACAAAGAACTCGTCACTTAATCTTTGAGTGGATACGTGGAAGTATTGACACATGTCAATACCGACACTTCTTTCGTGATCAGTAAGTTCGACCGCAGACAGGAATTTAGTCGCGACAGCCAACAGTGCATCTTCAGGCCATAGCTTGAACGATGAAATTAATAATGTAATAATATCGTGGATTTTTTTTTAAACAACAGTGATAAAATTTTATGATTTCATTTTAATACCTGAAGCCAATCAATGGTGCAACAGTTAACTAAAGCTGGGAATTTTCTAATCCGATTTCTAAAAGCGTCACCGATAGGAGACATAGTGACAACAATGTGTAACTGATCGCGACAGATTTGCACGAATAGATTAAAAAGAGCCGCAGGGCTTCCGTCCGTTTGTAACGCTCGTTCTCGTTGTCGATCAATCTGTCTCATCTTCTCGCATATGTCAGCCTTCTCGTCAGCAACGAATATATTAGGCACCTAAATAAAAATCGAATTTGTTAAATTTTTTTACGTGTGCAAAAAGATGCAAATGAACAATTAAGTGGCGAGTTAAAAATTCAATACGTTTTATTATATGTATTATTTACTTCTCCTGAATTGAGCATATTGCTGATATCTTCCAAGAAGTTCTCTTCTTTAATCTGCGTGTCGCTGAAGAGAAAAGTCGAATGTAATTCGGTAGCCGTGGCTTTCTTCAAAATGGCTTTGATATCCTCGTGCCATTCGTGCTGGCCGTATTGTTGCGTAAGTTCGACCTGGTACACGTCGTAGTCGCAAATGTGCGACGCCAATCTGGTCAAAGACTGTCTTCCAGATCCACCGACTCCAACGAGAAGAGCATGACTTCGCGGTTGTTTGATGATACGAGCTATCCTCGATAGATGCTCGATCGCGAACCTTTATATTTACATTGAATTTAGCACAAGATCAGGCGTTAATTGCAAATCTTACATTTACTAAGTAAGACAAATTTACCGGAATAATACTAGATTCATAGGTTTTTTTGTCATCGAATTATATTCGGAAAGATACGTTTCCACGATCTCTCGCAACTCTTCTAAGTCACTAACTTCTTGGTATAAACGAACATCCGCCTTAGCATCCATAAAATCGCAATATATCAAATTTCGTAATTCGTTTATGGTAATCTGCAAAAGACGTTCAAGAAATGTATGTGAGATATCAAAATACGATTTTCTTTTTTATTAATTAATTAAAAGACAAAATTTTACTTTTTTTTTTCTCTTCTCTCGGAGCAGATCTTCGAAGAGATCCTCCAACGAAATTTCCATACGTTTTTTTAGTGTCACGCTTATTTGCTGTATCAACCAATTGATGTCAATTTCGTCGACGGAACGATCACCAAATACACGAAGTATCTCGTGAACCCATAATCGCTTCATATTTGAGAGTGCAGGCATAGTTTCCGGAACTGATAAAAGCACTCCCTGTGTGATAATTGTAATAATTGATGAAAATTTTTTTCTTAAAAATGTGGATAATAATAGAATGAGTAACAAGATGTTAGACAACCTGGATAACTCTAGAGAAATCACGAAGATTAAACATATAATGACATTTCGCAGGCGTTGGTAGCAGATTAATTAAGCTCTCTTTATATATATCTAGCGTTGCTAAAACAATTTGATCGATGCATGGATCAAATTCTTTACTGAAACCCCTACAATACGCAAAGAAACATGTACACATATTATAAATTTTCATATAACAAGATATTTACTTGGAATAAATTTAAAATGTCTCTAAAATATTCTCTAAATATTGTTATTAAATATTTTTTAATCTATAGACCTGGTATCGAGATGCCACAAAACAATCCTACTAAATATCGTAATCATAACGTCATCCTCGAATTCAGATATTGCCAGAACGAAGAAGTGCCGTTTGAATCGAGGCGTAACATCTTTGCCAGCGACTGGCGGAGACATCGCGCACATTAATTGGATCTCGATCAATTTTATTAGCGTTTGTTCCTTTCTATCATACCTGTCAGTAAGAAATTAACGAAAATTACAAATATTTTATTGAAGATTTTTAATGTAATATTTAAAAGCAATATTTAACCAAACGTGTAATATCTTTGTTACGAAATTATAAATCAGATATCAGTGCGACACAATAGCGACAAACAATTTAAAATATTTTACCATTGCCAATGATCCAACCACTGCCGCAATAATTCTATAGGCGGTTGCGCCCCAAATGTTTCTTTCATGGGCATCGAGACGTCATCGACGAAGATGATCCATCGTTTACCTATAGGAGGACCATAAACTCCTTTCCGTCTACGATCTAATTTGCTCATAATAATATCTTGCGTCTGATTAGCAGTGGTTTGCGCGGAAAAATTGATCAGCAACGGCTTATTCACCGCGGCATTATTCTTTTTCAGTAGAAAGTCGATTATATACACCGACTTGCCGGTGCCTGTCGGACCTACAACGAGCACTGGCTTCTCGTGTTGTACCAACATCTGAAAAAGTGCCGTGTACCGTATTGTTTCTACGGTTGGCACAATTATTTGATTGACAGGAATGTCACGGGGAATCGACGGCGCCAATAATAGCTCGTCCGACCATAATTTCCACTTTCCTTTGCCCTAATAAAAAGAAGTAACACAAACTTGCAGGATGGAATTTAGCGAAATAAAGCATCTTAAAAGATGCGAATATTTTTTTATATCTAGATATTAAATTTATAGATAAATTTTTGCAAGTGTTTACCTCTTTAATAAATCTGTAATCAAACACTACATTATGTTTCGGCATAATAAATATATAGGGTTTTAAAGGTGGCGGAACCGATTCTTGTAACTGAAATACGCCCATCAGTGCCAGTGGAAATTCTCTTTCCAAAAGCCCGTGGAATAAAATGCTAAACGGTTCCTTATACTTGGCTTCCAAAGTGCCGCCCATTGCCCAGATGCACGAGAAGAAAAACGAGCCCTATATAAATTTTTGAAGTTAATTCATTATGACTTAACATTTTATTAATTATTTAATCATCCGATTCCTAACTTCTGTCTGTGCTCGAAGATCAAGCTCATTTATATTTCTCGCTATTTCTTCATTGTAATAGTCATCCAAAAAACAATCCATAAGATAAGTGACAGATCGTAAAAGGTTTGAATCGGGCATTGGACATATTTCCTACAAATTAATAAAATATGAACAGTATCTGTCACACGATACATAATTCTATTTATAATGAGAATAAATTTTCTACCTTTACATTGCACCGACGTAATAGATGAAAAAGAGGTTTACAAAATCTGAGGAATAGCGATTCGTGTATGAAGACCCGTAACCATTCATCTATCACTTCTGGCAATTTGACTATCCAAGAATTTAATAAGGGCTCCCATCCTAACGCATCAGGCTCCATATAAATCATTCCTGTTTTGAACGATTTGTTGATCATCTAATTTTAGATTTCGAGCTTACTTGTTGTCATTTAAAGTCCCATTTACCGCAACGAGATACCGTGGCTGGTGAAGCAACTTCCAGATCTAACGGCTCGAATATCAAGTTAGTCGTCGGTGCCAGTTGAATGATTTCTCCGCTCATTAGGCACAGCTTTTTGTTGTCGTCAAGAACGGTGTTCATACTTTCTATCCATATCGCGTCTATCGGACCATCGAAGATCAACCATTTTCGGTCGTCATTTGTCGAAGTTGCAAAAGCCCGATAGCTAATAGCCAGAATACCGTCGTTCCACTCGTGGGACGCTGGATCAAATTGTCCGTACAATTGTCCCAGAGTTAACGATTTTGGATTGATTACCGTTATCTCCACCTTCCGCTCATTCATTAAATTCTATTTAAAATTGACATTAAATTTAATCAATGTAATCGTTATACGTTATACATATATATACTGATTTAATTACTTTGTTATTTTTCGAAAAAATTATTGGACTAATAATTAATTAAGAATCATGGAAAGAATGATTTTGTTAAAAGATCTAAAAATTTTGCTGAATACAGATCTGAAAATTAATTCTTGTTGAATCATCAAAAAATTTTGTTGGAATGTTAAAAATGATAAGCATTGCTATAAAACGTTTTGATATTTTATAGCAATTATTTTGACTTTCCAACAAAATTTTTTGATGATTTAACAAGAATTAATTTTCATCTGGATTCAGCAAAATTGTTCTTTCCGTGAACATTTACATTTTCTTCGCAAATTGCGAGTGCGTCGGCCAGCATTTTGTAGGCTGTAGTCTTGCCGGCGAAGGGAAATCCAACGATCATGAATCCATGTCTGACTAACATCATCTCGTATATTTGCTGAATTTTCTCCAGAAACACAGGGACGCACTGGATGTTCGCAGCAGCGCACGCTTTATACGCGCAGGCATTTAAGTGTACATAGTTCGGTTCAGGAAGTTGCACGCTTGGAAAAAGATCCGAGATGATACCCTATAACAACATATTCTTGATAATTCTCCTCTTATTTAGGCATAAACGTTATATATACACGTACGTGAAACAGCGGTACATCTTCGCTGAGAAACTTGGGCAAATTTACGTCCTTGATGCTACGTAAAATTAAAACGTCCTCGTTTTCTTCTGGATATTTCAATTTTAAATGTCCTGCCGCTATTAAGACAGACTTCACCGCTCGCATACCGTAGTCATAGTGATTTTGGCTTGACAGTTGCTCCGAGCATAATTTATAAGCCATAACTATCTTAACAGACAAAGGCCTTGCGTTGTAAAATCCATATGAGTACAAAATATTCTCCGCTATTAAAGCGTAATCTGGTACCTATTGAATATCAGAAATAAATGTAATTGTACAGAAAAACACATGATTTTTTAAGGCGCGTTTTTTGAAATTTACCATCATAGCCACCGGTCGGAACAAAGCTTTTAGATTGTCTGGTAATTCCGTTCTGCCAGCATATCCCGGATTCATCGTGATGAACACCGCGCAGGTACGATCCAGTTTCAATTCTGTTTCTTCGAATATCAGAGTATCCTTCTCCGCATGTATAGCTCGTTGAATAGTCAGTATTTGCTGTGCCACTACCGATAGAACTTCTAGATCAATGCGATTAAACTCGTCGAAACAAGACCATGCACCGGTGCTGGCTAATCCCTGAAATTATTTAATATAAATTTAGAATAAAAAATATTTATTACATATAAATGACAGGCTATCTTCCGTATCTCTATAACAAAAAATATATTTTAAACTTTAGCTTATATATAATTGTGTTTGTGTATCTGTGTGCTGTCAGATTAAATATTTTCAATTCGTACTTTGAAAAATTTGCCCAGAGCGATATAGTCTAATCCTTCCGAGCAATTGAATACAACGCATTGCTTGGCGACTGCCTTTGCCAGATCTTTGGTAGTCTCGGTCTTTCCTGTCCCAGCAGGTCCTTCCGGAGCGCCGCCGAGATGCTGGTTGAGAGCACCAAACAATGTGCGATAGCATCGATCGGTGAGTGGCGTTATTACTAATCGCGACGTATTGCCTAGGTACTCGTATGCATAGCCCAGCTGGGAATTTATCATCATCGTGTGCAAATCCTCGTCCTATAGAAAAGTTTAAATTTTAACATTGGCGATACTGAAAATATACGATGATAAATGTAAATGTAAATTATAACGAAGTAAAGAGAAAGAAAGACCGCATATCTAAATCTACTCACTATCCAATAGTATCTCAGTTGGCAAAGCCACTTAAAGTCCGTGACTTGATTTACATTTTGCTCACATAGCTGCACCAACACATCACGACTGTGAACATCCAGCGTTACTAAAGCTTCTGCAAATAAAAAGAAGAAAAAGAAAGTAATTTCCGGATTAACGTAATTGGATACATTAATTCTCACCAAATTGAATACCAACCCAAAGTCGTTCGATTTTGCTTTGATAATTTACTACGGACAAGCTTGACGATTTCATTAAGTTCGTGTGTACACGTTTCAACATAATCTCTTAAACTTTCTAAGCCCTTCGGAATCTTAACAGTAACATCTGCCGTCCAGTATAATTTGCTGACGCAAAGGATAGTCTGTCCCGGCCATTCCAAGGCCCATTGACTCCTAGCTTTAGTCGGAAAGGCATCTTTGGCTCGTATCACCTGGAAAAAAGTCGAATCAATGTGTTTAATAATTCAACGTAAGAATTCGCTCTTTTTCGAAATTTTTATCGATTCCAAATAACCTGAGCTTTCACGCTTTTTTTCATATCAATTTCGAGCTCGAGAAGCCACTTTTCCACTTGCCCTCGTGCAGCAGTCGTATCGATTATATCCTCGAGAATAATCACCTCCTCTTCGGATGACATCATAGCCGTGGCCTCCATGGCATCGGTAAATCTCAATTTTGCGATGCCCTCGAAGCACTTTTTCAAATGAGGCTGCACCCTACGGTAATAATTAAAATGTGTAATTACGAGCAATCGAATAAGTACAACAATAATTGTACTTATTCGATTACTAATAAGCGTAATAAAATATACCGCGTGGGATCTTTCGTCTCAGACAAAATTTCTAAAAGTTCATCGTTAGACAGAAAGAAAAATCGCGGGAAGAAGAGTCTCTTCTTCTCTAGATAAGCCGCAAGTCCTCTTTGCACCAATTCAAGCAAATTGGTACACTTTTTCAAGCGATCCAGCATCTTGTCGATATCGACGACGGTCATGACTGCTGGATTAGCCGCGACGATCGACATAAGTTCCCTCCAGATCTATTTTACATGTATAATTTAAATTTTAAATTGTTAAAAATGTATTGTTCGTATAAGAGGCAATTTAATTGCGATGTTATGAATAATTACGAACTTTATCTACGGCGCTAAATCGTCGACTCTCCTCTGGCATCTGTTGCTGTATATCGGGTGACGAGAAGATTGGTTCAAGATACATCCACGTTCCTTGAACCTTGAGCCAATAATCCATAATATCTTGTAACAAAAGTAACTTGGCTTCCCATTCTCTAATAGAATAATAGCATTGATAAATGACAAGTGAGCATGAATTTTATTTGACAATTGAAGTAGCAAAATTGAATAAAACATTTTTTTTGTCTCTCTCTCTCCCTCTTTCTCTAAGGAATTATAAAAATCTCTAAGGAATTATAAACATTGTAAACCTACAGGGTTTCTTTCTCAAACGGCTTTATATAAAGAGAATTCTTCATTGTCTGGGCTTTCATTAAATGATCGTCGAGCAACAGTTGTATTTCTTCCACACTGGCAATAACATATGTGCCGGTGTCGCGATAAAGATTGACGGTAAACGCGATATCCGACCAATCGGAATACATTTTGACTAAAGCTCTCTCCAAATTACCCTCTTTAGTAGCTGCCTCGGATATTACATCAAATTTCGCGACATAGTCGCCTAGACCGTAATCGAGAATCTGTGAATGTAAATACGATTACGATCTGTAGCCAATGACAAACCAGTTAGATTTGCGTTTACCTTGGCCAACGTCATGTATTGATCGACTTTTATCGGAAACCCAACAATTTCCGAAATCTGCTCCCAATGACGACTTTTCAGGGAAGGATTCCCGAGAGTCAATATTACTGGCATATGCTCTTTAAATTCTTCGATTTTCGTTCTTGCGATTTCTGCCAACTTTCTCACTGCAGGTTCTTGAAAAGCTTTTTCCAACTTGTATACCGTACGATATGCAATGGCTGTTTCAGTCTCGATCACTTCGGGATCGTACGAGCCTATCATAGCGTTAGTCCAATTCTCGTAGTTAGTTAAGAATTCACAGGTAATGTCGTAGAATTTTTTATAAGGTGCCAATTTATCGGCTATCTAATTATTAATAAAATAATATTATTCCTTCTGTATAGGAAAATAAAGTGAGATAGGAAAAATGTAAAATATCAAATTTTTTATATTCTTAAACATATAAAAGCTTTGAAAGTGATAATTTCTATAATTTGTTTACATCACTAGATTGTGCGTTTGTAAAGTTAGCATCCCAACAATAAAATTCCATATATAATTCTGATTAAAGTTCCCGTTTTATTTTGAAGAAATGAAGAGTTTCTTATAGTTTATAACAAGAGTTCTGCTTAATAATAATTTTTAATTTAAATTTTGATAAGAAGTTAGCATCTCATTTTTTAAATTTAAATTAAAAATGGTTATTAAGCAGAACTCTTGTTATAAAATATAGGGAACTCTTCGTCTCTCAAAATGAAGTGTGAATTCTAGAACTATGGAATTTTATTGTTGAAGTATTAACTTCACATACACCTAGATTGTAAAAACTTCAAAACATATATATGGATAAATGTGAATCAATGAAATTAAATTATTTTCTATTACCTTCTTTCTTAAGGGATACTGTGACATTTCCCAGCCGAATAATTTTTCCTCATCGTTAAATTCTGCGATTGTATCCATAGCAGCAGTCAATTTTTTGTCAAGACTAATAGCTTTTTTCTTGTATCGTTGTATCTCCTCGATATTGCCCCAATATTGCAACTCGTTACAATATTTCTCATAAGTCTGTAAATCCTGTTCAAATTTTTCAATTTTTTCTTTGAGCATTACTTGATACTCTCCCGTTTTACTTGCAACTATTTCACGGTGTTTTTCGAAAATTTCAGGCATTGCGTGATACCTGAATATGCGACAATTTTAATTATTCATATTATATAAAATTTCTATATATTAAACAATTTCTTTACATGTGTAATTGTATTAATCAGTACGATTCCGATTTATTTGTACATTGCAATACAAAACACATTTTACTGCGAATTAAATTAATGTAATTAAAACGTGCTTACCATTGAAAAGCAAAATTATTGCTCTTCAACTCAACTGGCGTTAAATGGTGATAATCTGATAAAAATATTATATATTTCATTACTTCTGTCAATCGAGTCTCTAGTTCAAAAACAGTTTCCGTTTCAGATTTATGTATAAAAGCTTGCAATTTCATGAGTTCTGACGTATTGGGTGGTATACTTAATGCTCGATCTGCGATGTTTTGATAAACATCTCCTATACTGATAATTAAATATTATTATATCAAATTTTGCAACTGTTAAAAAGACAAATGAAAATCAGCGAGAAACATACGCTCGAACTTTTTGTTGATAATCAGCGACCATTTTTGAAATTAATTCGTCTTTGAGATGAGCAGCTGTAGAAGCAAGATGTTTTATAATATGATATCTGCGAACTTCAAAGAGATCAGTAAAAGATGTCCAATAAAACTCTAGTGGAATATTCTTGCTCAATTGATTGTAATGATCAACGAGTTCGCAATATTTCTTATACGGATTAGGCGGTTGGGCCTTCAGAAAATCCCGAACGTAATTAACGTCCTCGTTGTTTATTAAACTCATATATTTATCGAACTCGCGCAGTTGCATTTCCGGATCAGTTTTATATCGTTGAATTAAATTTGATATGACGTTCGCATGTTGCTCAAGAAGATCTGGAGAAATCATTGGCTGTGAAAACGTGTAGGAATTTAATAATATAGTATTGTAATATAATTTTATTAATGATTTTTAATTATTATATTGAATAATAATCAATATTTGTAATAATGAAATAATTATTGAAAACGATAATTTTTTTAAATTATTTAATAATTTCATTAATACATTACACGATATTTTTTGAATGATTCAATATTACATAAAGTATATACCTTGAGCAATTCAGAGGAACTACTATCCGGAGAAATCCATCCGAGTTTTACTTCCGCTCGTGGTAAAGTTGTTACAGCATCGTAAAGAGAATTCAGCAATATTGAAAGTCCGTTTGCAAATGCTTTGAATGTTGGATCAAAAATAATAGAAGTATTCCGTACCACAACGTCTACATTAAAGCCACAATTTGTGTGCTAATCAAAATAATTATATTTAATGCTCTTGACCGAAATATACATTAAAAACAAATTTTTAATCGGACCAAAGTCTATAAAATATATACTTACACCGACATCCGTAAGATAATCAATATAGTCTTCCATTGAACGTAAGCACAAGTCTCGCAATTGATCTTCCATGACGTAGGCCAGACAATTGAAGAATCTATTATATTGCGGATTGTTCACGGGTGGTAAATTACCTTTCTTTGAAGCCTAGACATAGTGATTTCGACATCAGATACGAATTAACATTTATAAAAAGTATTTTTTTTCACTTAAATTACGAAACAAATTTTTTACTGTGAGTAAAATATTGCAGATCTTTGGCAACCATCGTTTGAGAAGATCGTCGCTCGTGTCTTTGAGGATTCTTAAGAATTTGTAATCAAATTTTGAAAGATCGTACGATTGTCTTTGCGACGTCAGCTCTCGTTTGTCTACTTGTCTGACCTCTCTATAAATTACGAAATTATACTGGACCAAAAATCATTTCACGTATAATGGTATTCTGATGGCTACATGCCACTTTAATTCACTAACCCATATTCGCGATACCAGTAATCTAAAGTTTTGCGCATGCACGGGTGATACAGGATGATCGATTTCCTCTCCAATTTCGCTTTTATTTTTTGGTACTTAACACTGTGCTCCAGCGTCAACAATTCGGCGATTCCTCGGAAGAGTAGCGGCTGCAATGTGCACAACGTGTAATCGCAAAAGCAATCGAGTGTGAAGAGCAACCGTAGGATTATCGGCAAAAGGGCAAACGTATGAAGGCCGACTCAACATCGGGCGTCCAAAAAGTTTTTTTTATATTGCGCGTGAAATAATACGTCATTCCATAGATCCGTGTCAATATATAGTACATCGTATTTACCGTAGCGCAGAGCGCCTCCTCGAAGGGTTCCTGCAACACGAAGTCGACGATGGATTTTTTCATACTCGTAACGTAGGCACTTTTTAATTCCCGAATCAATTGGTCGAAGCACTCGGTGTATCTCTTCTGCCATTCAGCGGACACCATGCTCGTGATCTTCTTTAACGTGTCAGAATCTAAGGTGCCTGCATGAGTGTCGTCGACCTCATGAAGGATGTAGTAGTAATACCTCAACAGATTCTTGTCTTCCTCCGTGAGCCAAATGTCACCGATATCGTCGACGTCGCTCGGAACTGCTGCTGTTTGTCCGCAACAAACATTATCGTCATCTAAAACCGTCCGCTCTTTTGCATAGTCACTGCAAATTTCCATTTTGTCCTCGTTCCAACTCAGTCCTTTGATCTTCCTGATCAGATGCATCCGAAATTCGGCTCTCTGTCGACGTAGCGACATGTAGTAATCATCTTTGGGAGAAACGGTTTCTCTTTTCCTTTTCTTTAATGCCGTGGTGCTCCTTAAAATTTATTTAATTTTTGACATATAATTTATATGTAATAAACAGCAATATACATAATCAAACGTTAAAAACGTATTATAATAAATATTTGTGCTTTGGCGCAAACAAACGGTACTTTGCGAACTACTGGTAATTTACCTCGACAAAGTTTCACATTTTTGTGGCAAATCGAAAATCCTCGATTCATCTTTAATATACTTTTTTAAGCAATCATACGCCTTCCGATGCGCGTGATATTTTTTTAAAAGCTTGGTATTTGGACAATACGTGTCGGAAGTGGATTTCATCCAATCGCATTGCTTTTTACGGAATTTCCTGACGTGTGACTCCTCACTCCGCTTTGCCATTCCTGTGCACGGTTCCGATTTGTAAATGTCAATTTCTTTGTCACTTTTATCTTGTTCCATGACTTCTTCTTTGCTCTGACTTTTATCTTTTTCTTGTACACAACGCGGATTCTCCATCGTGTAATCAAGTCTTTATATATATTTTTTTTTTTTGCTTATCAGAATCGTCACGCTAATATGAATTCGAGAACATTAACTGTGTGCGTGATCTGAATAGAAAATTATGAAATAAGTGATAGTCACTCAACCTCTCTTTTTCACGATTACAACTTACCGTTTCGTCTTGCTTGGTAGCAAGGGTATGCGTTACCATAGCAGTCGCGGTAACATGGAGACATGTTACGTCAATCGTAATATAATTTTGTATTTGATATCTTTATTAAATTATTAACAATATGCAATATAACATGCGATTGATAACAAGAAATAATTGCAAAATAATGCAAACGAGCATTTGTGCAAAAACAGAAGTCCAATCTGAAAAATATATATAATAAGGAAATGGGGATGATTGAGGGATAGAAAAAAATAACAGATTGTTGTTCCCTTTAACGTAAATATTTATTCTGCATTTATATACGCGACATCGTTTTCAGAATAATACTTTCATAAGTGCGGTGAATCTGTGAATCTGATACGTGACTGGTAGTCTGATATCTGTCAGTAATCGCTATAGAGCTAGCTTGCAATTTCACGGCACTGAAGATAAAAACGATGCAATATAATATATTCCTTTGTATAGTATATTGAGTGTTCCGGTAACGTAAAATACAAAGTTCAACGCGATATTAAATTTTATATATATATATATATATATATATCTGTATTTATATATAACGCATATATATGTATATGTATATGTACATATATCACGACAATTCACACACATTTGATTGTCACTCGTCTCTGATATACATAGTACACTGTTGATCCCTCTATACATCTAAATAGGCAACGTGAAGTACTTCTTTGCGTAAAGTCTTTCCTTATTCCAGGAATATGCGAACGAGAATTCAGTTCAGCAAATTATCAGGGACAATCTGCTAAGTATATGTGTACGTGTTTGTGCGCGCATATGTGTATAGTATGCATGTGTAGGTGTATATGTGTGCAAGAAAATAAACACATATTGGACCCCCGCAACCTCCTAGCATGCCCCTTGCACACTATGATCGGAATTAAAATATGCACATATAGACGAACGATTAAGAGCGAAATGGAGGGAAAAGCCACCCGCTCCCGTTAGCTTTCGCCAAAATATGTAGGCGGCATATACTTCGCAACGGCGATTCGTAGTCGAAACAAGGACCGCGTGGATATATTGATTTTCTTTCCGACACCTTTCCAATGTTCCGCCAATGTTTCAACGTCGAAATATAGCCGCGTTTATGTACGCGACAGAGACACGTTACACAGGGAATAAACCGCAAACGATTTGTATCGATCCTTTCTTCCGAAGGCGTATTGCAGGGAGCATCCACGGAATGCGCCGAGTATCCACTCTAAAAAAGGACAAATGTCGAGGACACTTGTCTCGACATTTTTCCGAATCAATTGTTTGTAAAATCAAATTTTTCACCAGAATAAACACAGCCTAGTTTTAATATTCATTGTGAGAAATTCAATATTGAATTCTGTACCGAGGGAAATTTTACTGTCACACGTATTGCTTTCTTCGGGAATGTACCCTGTGTAACGATGTAATTATACAATTATATCTAATGGCTTATATAATGTTGATTGAAACAGGTACATTTAATGTGAGTACGAATAACACACAGCAGTTTTGAGAACATAGTTAATTAATTATTGAAAGTTATCCTTGCAACCGATTAATTTCTCTATTACGTACAACGCGATCCGCGTACAAAGTAATCTTTTCCGCAGTCTTAACGAGGTTTTGCAGATTCGGGAAGAATAAAATAAATATGATAATACTACACACACACATACACACACACATACACACGCACACACACGCACACACACACGCACACGCATCTACATTTCTGATAATGACATACATGTGTTCCATATACCAACGGTATTGATCCGGTTCTCCTGCGCCTAACAAGCAATAACGTTACGGTTGCTTATCTATATAACGAAACCCTCTTTGATAATTTTCAAAACTAATATTGACAACATCACGGAGCACGGTACATTTGACTAATTATCTTGCTTGACATTCTATGACACATAATACACATAAAGTGTTCGGTTTTGATACAAATTTTCTAGTTATATGCACACATGCATTATTGCTATGCTTGATAATGCCTTCAAATTTGAGAACAGACGTAAATAGTTAAATATTCCGAAATTAATTAAAAAATGATCGTGTCGTGTATATATCCCTTTAAGGTATATTTAACAAATTATAAGCAAGTTATATATAATATGTCACAGGATATAATCTTTTGTCAGGATATAATATAATCTTTTTACAATTTAAAATATATCCGATATGTCAAATTTTATTTAAGTCTCATAAATCTCGGTATAATACACGTCATCATATCTCTTTAACTTTTTTTTATACATTTTGTCATTTATAAATTCCAATATTCAACTTTTGTATAATATAAAATTATACACATCTGCACTTATAGAGATCATCACTTTGTTATAGCTTTGTAGAGAAAATGTAAAAAACATTAAAATCGAAATATTACATATTTTGTTTAATTGTATATAAAAATTTCATTTTTATACGTTAGATCAAAGCAAATTTAATATTGCGAAGAATGCGAGAGAGGAACTATTTGTCACACGGCATTATATTGCCAAGGTGCTTTATTTGAGAAACTTATAAAATTGGAAGGCATTACATAGTAAAATGATATTTATTTCAAAGTCGAACAAAATAAGAAACTAACTATTGCCGTATTTTTTATCTTCATCAAACTGCTCTACAAGGCGACGCAGTCTGTTCCAAAATAAAAATGTTACATAAGCCACTTCCAATTACACTTATAGTTATCCTCTTCCATTGAACACTAATGTAGCTTATTTCACGCCCGGCTGCACAGCAGCCACAGCAGATTAAGCTCTCGTTTTTCTTCACGAGACATCAGGAAGATTAATCATCAGAGCACATATTATATATCGACAATGGCGATTTGTATGCCGTACTGTAGTCTTTATTGTTTACGCGCAATTAATATACTTTCCTTAATGTGTTTTACTCCAGCCAGATTTAGAGAGCGAGATTTAGAAAGGCGCGCCGTGATTCTCACACATATAGGTACGTAATGTCTTCAGTTGACTCGCACGAGAAACGCGATTCAAGATATGAATTGACAATGGAAAGAACTTAAACCTATTTTGTTTGTTTGTTTGCTTGTGGCAAGCTCGTACGACGGAACGGAAAATCCGGGGAGTCATCGAACGGTTAAGGTCTTGTGAAGCGATACCGGTACGGAGTCCAGGCGAACAGTTCTAAAGGAAAAGAATATATATAGATCCATTGTGTATTCCCATCGTTCACTTGCCACATTTTCTAAATATTCTTAGCATGCAAGTGGTACCAGGCGCGGAGAAAACGTCGTTAACTCGTCGTTTTCGCGCCGCTTGAGATGCAAAATTAGCATGCATTCTGAAAACGTCCAGCTCGCTTGCGTTTGAAATAAATAGTATTTCTCCTTCTCCTCCTCCTTTAACTGATAATTAATTTCCGCTCTCTAGCCTCTGTTTCGATGCAAGCTGCCGTTTCCAGTTGCGCTTACTACTCCTACGGTGAAACATGCCGGATTGCTACAGATCTGCTGACTAATTTGTAAAGATGTTCAGATGAAGAAATTTGAATGCAGTATCATTTAATGGGGTTGCACGTGACAGTCGAAAGATCTTGCGAGATAAGCGCGTACAAGACAGAATATTTGATAATGAGTGCTGTAAATATTTATATCGAAGGATCAAAACGAATAATCGGATGGTTTATCGATTGATTTATCGAATGTTAATTATTACCGAATGAATATGTACCGAACGATTCGACAGCAATCGGTGTCATTGTTTCGTAGAAACAATAGAAGATAATAGCCTCAATAAATTGAAGCAAAAACCAAAAAAATTGTCCTTCGCCAATTAGCAAAGGGAGTAAAACGATCGCTTTAACTGACTCGATACTCGAATTGATCGGTATATGGTTGACACGTTCTTCATCTACCTGCGAATGATATATGGAAGGATGTCTGCAGTCTGATCGATGGTGATGCGATATAACGATGAGAGCGCGATGTAAAACTACTTGTTTGTAAAGGAGGTTGACAATAGCGTGGTGAGCCGGTCACTACATGAATCGCTCTACGATTTACCATGGTTAGTGAAGCACGGACAAAGCGCATTCAGAATACGATTGCAGAATCCACGCGCTCGATTGTTCCAGCCAGCGATGGTATCGCCACCCTTCAATCTACTACCTGCACACACACACGAATAGCCAGCGTGTTATAAATATCAATCTCAAAAGATAATTATAATTGCGCGACGTTCTACTTTGCAAGTAGCTCTACGGGTTGTCCCACCCAACTTGATCATCTGAAATATCTCCGTTGCTATTGATGGCACGGGAAAATGTGTAAGAAAAAAAATGTGAAAAAAAATACAAGTTAATAACTTAACAAAAGTGCAATGATTAGCTTATAAATAAATAAAATGTCTAATTTATAACATTGATCTTACTAATAATCTTAATTTTCTATATGCGATTATTTGTCGTTCACATATTTTCGTATCAGCCATCGTAGGATATTACACGAACATAAGCATATTTCTATTCGTCAATATAAAAATGCGTCTATTGAATAAATTATGCTTATTTAATTATATTATCTATTATACCTATATTCATCAATATATAAATTTCTTCAATTATCTCTAGCTATCTAGAAAATCTGCACTTATCAGACTACTCTCTGTATCTTCTCGCATACTCATTATACCTACTTTTTTTCCTCTATTCCCCAAGAATATAAAATATTTATCATTTTATTTATATTCACCTTCTTTTCCTTTGCTATAGCCGACGCGAGTCAATTAAGAATATTTTAATCCCGTAAATTAGAACATTTGAGTCGTAAGAATCAGAACGTAAGGTCGATTTGTACTTACCCTCGCTTGTGTCAGCTCCCTGAAACAGAAAAAGATAATATTGCATTGCTCGATCTTTGCGATATACATATAATAATAACTGATTAATAATTAAAGCATCACTCTTTTGGCTTTGTCGTAAAAGTTTTCTAATTAAATAATAAATCGCGAGTTTATATTTACCTCTGATTGAATCTTTCTTTTCGAAGCCTCCGTAGCGGCGGTCTCTATTACTTCACTGATAAATTTCGTGGTTTCTCTCATGAGTTCCTCGTCCTCCTTGAAAGCCTCTTTCCTCTGCTCCAACGTTCCCGTCATCAAATTCTTCTCGTGCTCGTCCATATTGATGCAGGAGTGGAACGATATGGACATCTGATTGGTCATAGTATCATCGACGACGGCAATTTCCGTGTCCTAATCCTTTGCAATTAAAATTATTCTCAATCAGACGAAAGAATCTTATATAGATTAAGTTGAATTTTCTTAATTTATACATATCGCAAATTTAGTTACCTAGCTTATAAAATTTAATGTAAAAGCAAAACATAGTGTGTACAATAATTAAAATAATAAAAAATTAAAATCTGGTGTGGAAGGATATGGTGACAGACGGTCAGTAATTTTAGATCGAATCGTCTCTTCCTCTCTCCTTCTCTCTCTCTTTCTCTTTTTCTCTCTGTGATCAATGGCTTGATATTAATTCACTAACAAGATCGCTGTGCTCAGCCCCTCGTGTTTTTGAATCATTCGCGCATACATTGGTCAATGATCGACGGCGAAAACAGGGGTTGAAATCGATATATAATTTCGGTGCTTTCAATATTACAAATACATTAATCGGATATAAATCAAATCTGTTTCTGAACAAAAAAAATATATTTTGTCCCGATTATAATTCTTTAAAACGATACAAATCGTTATAAAGTTTTTCTTTATCATTAATATCTTTTTTGCGCATATCTTTAAATTATTAATTTACTCGTTGAGTGTATGAATGAGTTTATATGTTGCGAGTGATAAATTATAATTGCTACAAATAAAGCCATACTTCGCGATAATTTTGCAGCGTATGTTACAAAGACTGCAGTGAAAATTATTTTAACTAAAGTACAGTTTTTTTGATGCTAAACAAAATTTATAGAATATATTGTGCTATACATTTGGAGATAATCTGGTTAGATAATAATGCTAAATTGCTTTATATGCTTAAAGAAATGCATATTACGGTCTATTTGCGTGCATGTGAATTCTTTATGCATTTATCCAATTTATTGACATTTGATTCATGTCAATTGCATATCGGTAGAACTTACCGAAGTTACATCGGTTTTAATGCCAGCATCCAATCTGCATTCGAAACAGCCGCCGAGACGAACGATATCATTGCTGAATTTCCAATTAACGCAACAATATGTATGACAGAGACCACCGACGTAAATACGACGACGGATGACGGATGTGCCACAGGTGGTGTGTGTTGTTTCACCGCGCACGCACACCGACACCATACGCAGCGTATACACTGGTCTCTACGTACACGCGCGTGTATCCCGGGGATGCCGATGACGTGGTCGCTGGTCGCGCAAGGCCGGTCCAAGGCGAGTTGACAGTCGAGGTCGACCGCGTTTATTTAATCGCTGATAAAGATATGGACCTGACACCGAGCTATTCCGAATCGAACAGCCGGTCGCCCCGAAATCCTCCGGAACCAGGGGAGTCGTCGACGCTTTACTGACATGGACTTGGCTCCTTCGATGGAATGGAAATACAGGGATGGTATATTCCTCTCAGTATTCGCGACGCCGAGCAGGGCGAAGAGAGACGGGTAGAAACGAGTAAACCCTCATCTTCTCTTTCGTCGCGTCTTCGACGGGCTCTGCGCTCCGTCAGGTAATGATCGACGCGGACCAGACGAAGCTCTCTTACCCGACTGGATATCACCCCACAGCCAGACCCTGAAACGGAGCATGCGTCGGGGCAAGGCAGCTATTAGGTTTTTATATCTTTCCTCCTGTGCCTCTCTTATCTGCATGAATGTGTACACATGCGCGTACACATACATATGCGCGTGCATTTAATGCCCGTATCTCGCAGATATTAAGTCTGTCAATCGACTAAAGCAAGGTGAAATTTGACTTCATAATATGGAATCGTCGCGCAAACACAGACGCTCTGATTACCATTCGATCTTCAAGATCTTGAAGAATGGATGAATTAAAAACGACTAGTGAAAAAATGCACTTTGCAACGCTGCAAAGGGATGAAGTTTGTAATATACAGATTTCTTTCTGTTTTTCCTATGTATGGAAATAATATATATCTGCGTAAAAAAATTTATTATATATTTTTGCTATATGTATGATAAAGAATTTTGAAAAACGACTCGTTCTTCCCCGCTAATTTTGATTCGTATAATACATTATTCATCACATACAATAATATGTTTTTATTATAAAGTAGCACACAAAGCTTTTAATGTGATATTTAATACATGAAAATTTTTTTGAAAAATCAGCAAAATCTCCGTGTTTAAAATTGCACGCTGTCTATAATGTATATGAATGTGTTGATTTTGCATCTGTTAAAATAATGTGCGCGTGCGCACACATACATGTATATCTATTGCGTAATACAATTTTGTATAATAATAAATATTTGTAATATTGAGAGAGATTGAATGTACCAAAATTCTTACGGCGATTACATTAAAAAACATTTACTCTTTCCATCTTTTTAGATACGTAATTTAATGACGAAGGCAAAGAATAAGGATTATTTAAAAAATAAAGATTGTCATGACAAAGATAAAAAGAAAGAATTTTTTGTCAAAATTGTATATATTTCTTTTAATATTATAATATGAAGGATTTATATTTTAACCAAATTTAAATAGAAATATTGTACAGAGTATACAACATTAAGTATTCTGTATACATAACAATGCCTTACATACAATGCCTTAATACGAGCTATAGAAATATTTTGCACGCATTCCGCTCGGTTACATCATTAGGAACACAGTATGCCAGCGTATGCCTCATAATTGGTGTCAACTGGTCGCAATTAATGACACGCACGTAGCCGAGTGTCAGTTCCTCGTAAGATAAGCAATCGCGTCACCGTTTCACGCCGATTTCGAATGTAGGATAAACTTCATTTTCCTCTCTCGAATCACACACACACACACACACACACACACACACACACACACACACACATACACATGTACAATTATTTCATATCTAATTGTATTTCTCCCATCTAGGATATCTTTCCTACTGTAATTCGCGAGATAGAGAAGAAGAGCACTCGTTCCGTTGCGCTTCAATTACGCTTTAGTGGAAAGACGGTTCGGAAAGACACAGCTAAATATAGTACGAGGCGGTTAATAACAAAGGATCGATATGATCGCACGGTGAATAATTTTTTCCCCGAAGGAGCTCACCGCTCGATTACATTATAGTTAACGTGCGCGGTTTTTCTTCTTTTGCCATAACAACATTGTGCATGTGAGCGGCGTATACACGACATGCACGTTACACGTGTTCACCTACCTCGTTCAAAGCGAATCTCTACGACGAGCGACTACAATATGTATAACATATACAAAAGACCAACTTTTTTTTCCAGAGTTAATCTCTCAGCGTCGTTAATTATTTTTGCTGCAAAATATACTACAATTCGATGTTATTGTAAATTATATAAATTTAGAAAAAAATAAAGAGTAGTATATCTGCAAAACGTTATCGTAAATTAAACTTTTTCTTTGATTGTGCATGTTGTAATTAATATTTAAGAAAAAGAAGAAGCAGAACGAGTACAAAAACTTATTCCATTCAAATAAAAGAATGATCCACAGTTGTCACGAGTACGAATAGAATAAATAATAAATTTTTGACATTTAATACATATGCATGAGAAAAAATAGATTATATAGAGATATCAAATTGTAAAAGAAATTTTGCAGCAAACAATCTTATCGATTGAATTAATCATCGATTGATCAGTTAATGGGAGTTTGATCGAAGTGATCGCCTTGACCTTTGTTAATTTAATATTAAATAGCTATAAACGAAGAAATTACGAATAAATCGATTATCAACGATGCTAATTTCGAAACATAAATTGTAAGAGAGATTGTTATTTTTTGAAAATAATTATTTGGGTGATTAAATTTTCCACATCGTCCGTTGCTTAACGGGATCATGATCACAGTTCGTGATTACATTATACGATCTGTATCCTCGTCTGTCTTTCGCTCCCGACGACGTGGGAGCTGGCGTCTTGAGTCTCGTCAGCACCTCCCGGCGTATCGATGTACGCGAATTCGCAATACGCGCGCGCACGGCCGTCGGTGGCGATCGTTGGTGCATGCGTGCGCTCCGGAAGCCTTCGGCAGCGGTCGGCACTTCGGGCCACAGTCAGCCATTCGCACAGCTGCCAGGAAGATCGCGATGATGTCGCTCGTGTGGAGGTCGATTTAAAGATGGCCGCGTCGCGGCCGCCCGATCATCGTGTCGCGTCGATTTGAGGCGCGTGACGCGTCCTTTGGGGGCATTGCGGAGCAGCCCCAGCCCCGACGAGGTGCGAACCGCGCGCGGTGCCCGGACATCGACGTCGACGGCACACCCGGACACAGCCGTTCGACACAGGCCGCGGACGCGAGCGGCGGAACGCGCCGCCGGACGATGATCTAACGTTTCGCGTGTGTGTGCAACCGCGTACGGTACCATGAATTGTCATCAGATACTGAGCGGCGCCTGCAATGCAGGTGACCGCTGTTACGCGGTCGGCTCCGTCGAGGGAATATCCTTCACCGTGAGTATCCGTGAGACGACGGTCGCGTTCCGATACGGCGCGTCCTTGGCGATCGGCCAGCCTTCACGGCCGATATCGTCAGCGGAATTTCGTACGCGATCGTAAAAGTCGATACGCACTCTCGCATTATGGAAGTCAGCTGATCGAATGACACTTTGATTAGGCATACGAACGTAGGACGTTCACGTCTCACGAGTATCCTTCACCGTTCTCTTTGACAAACGACGAAAATTTATACTTTTTATCGTTCTACACGGTTGCGATCTGATATTTTTTAATACGTTGCGAATTAAAATATTGATCTTTCTTGCTGACATTTTACAATTAGTCATCAAAGAACTTTATCAAAGATAGTAAAGTTAGTGCGTCACATCATTAAGTAGAATTAAGATTTGATAAGATAATATGACTGGCATGAAAACTATATTTGAAGACATAGAGTTGGAAAGTGTAGATTAACTATATATATGATTTATTCATTCAGGCGTATGCAGCTGGCTGCAATATTGTGATTTTGGCCAATAATTTTGAACGAGTTCAAATAATTCCTGGAGCTGTGCACAATTACATCAGGATTAGTTGTCTGGACTGTAGTACAGATACAGGAAAAATTGCTGCAGCCTATGAAAATCAAGTCTGCATTTTTGAACCAACGCCGCTTATACACAGCACCTGTTCACATGTTTGTATCTACTTTTATTCTGTTTTTTACATTTTTATCTATTTGTATCTACTTGTTTATATTTTTAAATATTTAAGAATACGTTTAAAGATTTTTAATTAAATCTTTTCTAAATGTTTTTTATAGCAACTAGAATATAGATGGGTTCAAACAGGAAGTCTGCAAACAGAATCGAATATTACTTCTTTATCATGGAATTTAGAAGGAACAAGATTGTTAACAGGTGGCGAACTATTACAATTATGGCACCAAAATATCATGCCGTTTCAAGAAGAGCACAGTAAGTTTACTCATAGAATTTTCGTTTCAGTAAAGCCTTTTTTTTAATGGATCGAGTACAATGGAAAATTATCTTTAAGTTGTGCTAAAATATATCGATATTCTCTGTTAAAAAACTTTATTTGCATAATACACATGTATAACAATAAGATATATTTTCTCCTCTAATAAGTATTTAACGTTTGATTAAAATATTATATTAAAATATTAAAATATTAGAGTTATCGTATTTCTCATTACTTGATGCAGCGACATTACCTACAACTACAAAGCTGAAAACGTTACAAACAGAAGACGTCAGCACGACCGGAAACAATCATAATGTTACAGCAAATACTTCTCAGGATCGTGAGTTCATTCTTTTTGAGAATGAACGTTTAGTGTTGACGTTATTTGCATGTTGATATATCACAGCTTTTCTAATGCACCGCATTTGTAATTATGAAAAACAATCACCTGCATATCTCGTCTAATTAGAATGAAAATTAAAAACTCGAAACAAATGCATCTGAATGAACTTAACGAAGTTATTTCTGTGACTGATGCTATTGTAATTGAAATTTTGGTTTTGTTATCAATCTTTCAACATTATCATTCTTTATTTGTTGCAACTATTATATATATATATATATATATATATATATATATAATGGCAACAAATAAAGATTGATAATTTCAATATAATTTAAATATGCTTGTTGCGTTAGGCTTGCCCCATTAAACAGTTTAATTTATACATTTTGCTATTGCACAATATAAATACGCGAATTATTATTATAAATGTATTACAAGATATAATTTTATTCAAACGATTAAAATAATTTCAGTTGTCATCTTTTATATTACAAAAATGCTATTAAATATTGAGCTTCTTTTACTTGAGTTTCAAATATGTGCATTTTATTGAGGTCAAAAACAATTTTACTACATTGTTGAAATTTATATTAATTTTTAACAGCTGGTACGGTAACGTTCTCAATTGGAGGGGAAGCTGAGAGTCCTGGGCCTGGGGACACGTCTATTGCAAATGATCCAGGCGGTTGGAATTGTGTATGGAAATGTCGTACAGCCACACCAGTCCATCTTATGAGTTTTAGTCCCGATGGCACTCTGTTTGCAACAACAGGAATGAATGACAGATTGGTCAAAATATGGTTCGAAAACAAACAA